ATCATCGAACAAAACGGCGAAACTTAACAAATTACGACTGTATTTAAAAATAAATAAATATCACGTGTACGTTTTGATGAGAAAACGGGACGAACTTTTGCACCAACTTAATGTGTTGTGTGTAACAGTTATATTGCTGAGTGGGAAGATGTAAACCTGATGTGATGTTAGTTGATCGATGTTTACCGGGACACGACATCGTGACCAGCTGTCGAAATGACAGCCGAATAAGCAGTACCGAATCAGCATAACGCAAACACACACATACACACATATCCAAACACATTACAAACGATTAGAAAGGCTGGTGTGTTCCGTCTCGGTGATGAAATGCTGAGGCTTTATTGAAGCTTAGTGTACACACCGTATCACGTATGTCTCACCGTTAAAACTAGAGTTACGTGTACAATCTTCGACCTTACGCGTGTATGTATAAGAATGTTCAGACACAATGGAAGGGGTAAGGAACAAAGAATCAAACATGGGCAATTAAGAAGAAGACAGAAATAAGTTATAGTTTAAAACACGATAAAAAGAACAGGGAATAAGATATAAGAACGTTTTATCACTAAAGTATCTTTCTCTAACTTTTAGAATTTCCAACTTCTTTCGTTAATAATTTTTTTAATAGACAATGGGCAACGACCAGTGCCTTGTTCCTAATCTTCTACGTGTAATTCTTTATTCCTTATCCCGTTCGTTGTGTCTGAGCCCTAAGGCCGCAAATTGTATAACTTTCGATGCGGAGAATAACAAGGGCGTACATGACGCGATGTGTACCGTGAACACGAAATCGTACAAGTTTACACAGTCGCGGATGTGACCGAGTGGAGTGGGTGCAGCGTGCACGAGCGAGGACTGCTCAAGCTCTGGTTCGTCGAAACAAAACAGCCGCCCATTGCTCGCCTCCCTCTCGATTAAATCCGAAAGCGAATCAGGCACGAAATTACGACCGATCGAGGAGAGATGAAGATCCCTACCGAATCGAGATTAAATCGGTCCGCTCGATCGAAGGGAGTCTCTCCCTCTTTCTCTCTCTCTTTCACTTTCTCGCGCATAAATCACACCTTGTGACGTGAGCAATCACGTGTCTTCCCTCTTGTTAGGATCTTTAAGCAATCCGAGAATGGATCCGTCTTTTTTCTCTTCTATCCCCCCTTGTATTCTCCCCCCCTCCGCCCCTCGTAAACTTTTATATACATTTGAATTCACGGGCGTTTCTTCGATTTTTCCGCAAAAGAGTTACCGCTGTAGTGGCATACAAATATACGGTTTTCGGGTGTCGTGGAAAAAAAAGAACCCCGTGTATACATATGTACGCGCAACGTACGTATGTAAGTATAATGAGTTACACAATAAGAGAGCCTACTGTCCTTTTCTAGGATTTTTAACGGGATCTAGAGGGAGTATCCATTTATCCAGAAACTCTAAACGAACTCCTCGTAGTAGTACGGCAAATTTCTCGTGCATTTCTCGGCGACACGAGCGTGCGTTGTTAGAAGACTAAAAGGAAAAAGGAAGAAAGAACGAAGAAAGGATACAGCGCGAACGCGAGAGAGAAAGTACTAATTACTAATAGCCGCAGATATAAAATATTTTATACTACTTTAGACTCTAGATATATATATACTACGTGTACAGGATCGTAGGAGACTTGTGTTCGATTTTTCCTTAAAAAAAAGGAGAGAGAAGTAGAGAAAAAAAAGAAGGAAATTCTCGTCACTCGACGCTGTGCCAATATGATAAACGTTCGCAAAGCCGATTAGAGTTCTCTATAAACCACCGAGCGATTTTCTTCTGATAGCAATCTTAACAATTAGAGAAACCATCCTTTAGCTCGTTAAAAAGAGAAAAAAAGTAACCGACGAATCACCGACGGCGCTTTTCCCCGTAAATCGCGTCGCGTTCGAGTCACACACGCTTTTACCGGCGCTGCTGTTGAACTTGACACTTTGCGACCTCCTTCCATAGCTGATATATGCAGTCGTCTTCCATGATATCGCCACGTTATTGTAAATACAGCGACTCCCGGTCCTCTCGTTAAGAAGCGAAGTCCTCCTCGAATGAATAATCGGACACCTCGGGCAAGTTTTTCCCCCTGTCGACGGAAAGGACGATCGCCGGACGAGTTCCGAGCGATTCGAGATTCCATTTTCACGCCGAATACTCGTCAGTTAGTTTCGAGACAGAGTCACACCTCCGCGCGCGGCCTGATCTGAGACAGTGGAAGCGCAACCGCGATTGTAACCGGGTAGGGCAGGCGAGCGAGAGAGCGGCGCGCAACTTCAATCTTCCATAATGACTCTTAAGTGTTAAATAATACCTAATCATAAGGACGCGTAAGGCTGAGAGCTCCTGCGTGCCGAGTGCGACTTGGTGGCGAGCCGGGAGTACACATATATACCGAGGAGATATAAATTATTTATTTGTTTACGAATAACACGAGGCCGTCTCGCGTGATTCGCGCTCCGGGTGGCTCGCGCGCGATCTCCTCCGTCACCGTATTATCGTCGACCGTCGAGAGAGAGTGAGTCGTTTGTTCCCAACGTTTACTCCCCGCGGGGGAGTTCACCGTGGGTTTTCAAAGGGAACGACAATGCAAGACGACGGGGAGGCGCTGCGGAACAAGCGTCGTCCCTATGTATTTTCCCTTCTTCGATCGGGCTTGCCGCTTGATACGCAAAATGATATTCAACCTCGGAAGCTCCCCGATCACTTGGGATGAGTTTCTCGCGTGAAGCGCGTGGGTGTCCGGCGCGGAGCACGAAGGGCACAGCCCGTTCCGTTTCTCCACACACCGAGAAGAAGAGAGTGAAATATTGCGAAGTGAATGTTTCTCACGACATTTCTTCGATATTTATCGGTTGGAAAGAAGTCCGACTACGATGACGGAATATATTATATATTTTTGTGAAATATACCTAAGTTTTCTTATTAATTGGTTTATTTGCCAGGAATAAAATTTTTTTATTTCGCCGTATTTAAATGTTTATTTCTGCGAAATAAACCTTATATTTCACAAATAAATTTTTATATCTTTTTTTCTCAGTGTACTTATTTCACGCGCAACTAGTAACGGAACGGATACCGTGTGGTTTATGTATATAATGATAACCATGGACAATTTGAAGTTAATCCTCGGGATACAAGATTGGTCGGACCCGGCCGGATTCATATTCTAATGTTTCCATAAACACGCTTATATTTCGTAAAGCGTTATATTTCGGGCATTTTCGATATTTTTCGACATATTTTATTTACTTTAAAATATTTTTTAACTTGCTACGAGAATAAAAAGTGCCTATTCGAAAAAATAAGTTGAAAATCTATGGAAATACTTCTACAGGTCGGATCCGACCCATACGAATGTTGTTATTTGAAGGTTAATCGAATCGCACAAATAAATTCCGTGAATATTGTTACATATGTTCTGAAAAATAAGAAAGCGATGGCGATTCATTTGAAAGTAAATCTTTAAGTGATGAGGAAAATGTATGTCATTATGGTGGATGGAACAGGAGAGGAAAGTATACGTCGTGAAAAATTACATTAAACGAATTGAAGAAGAAGCGAAAACAATCAAAAATAGACCGTAATATTCTCAAAAGTGTTTCTAACAACCAAATCGTCCACTCATTATTCATTCATATTGTTTCATTGACACCATAATTGTATGTAATTCCTCCTTCTCGCCGCAAACGTGGGAATAGTAATTTGATTCTCTGCTATTTTTTCTATTGAGGAAGCTCACAATAAATTTCTATTCCAATTTCGCGTTGAAATTGATAATGTGCACAAGCCGCGTGAACTACGTGCCTCAGCTCGAGGAGTGAGGCACTTCATGCGTCTTCACGTAGCGGAAGAGGTGGAGTATAATAGTTGCGGTATGTCCAGCCATGCGCGCATGGAGTGCGCATGAAGAGAAACGGAACGAGCTTCTACGCGCATCATGCGAGAAACGGGACGCATCCTTGAGCAGTCATTCAAAGCTCCCGTTTTCTCGTTGCCGCGATCTTGATTAATGACGACAGAAGCGAGGAAACGTATGCCCAAAGTTTTTGCAGAATATGTTGGAATCCAAAAAATACCTAAGAAATATTTATTCGATAGGTGTACCGACATCATACATTTTTACTTATATTAACATACATATTTACACGTTCAGAAAAGTTTCTTCAAATAAGAAAACATACATTTTCTTAAATCTATAACTACTACATGAAAACAATCGTTTAATTTATTTAAGTAAAAATTTAGATTCAAGTAAATATATTATCAGTACCCGTTGAATAAATATTTTTTATGTATTTTAGATACTTTTTCTCTCAGTGCACGAACATTCCACGAATCATTTGTAACGACACTCCGTTGAATTATGCTTTCGCGTTCCGATCGTATCGGGATTATATTTATAACGAGGTTCGCGATGTACAGCCGAATCAAATGTCGCTACACATTTTTGCGATGACCGCAGGACAATTTATTTGCTAACCGTACATAAAAGCCATCTCTCGTCTGACGAAAAAACGCAACGTGTGTCACATAGGCAAAATTGTTCGCGGGGCGAAGTTGGAGATAGCGGTATCTGGAAATGCGCAGCCCGCACATATAACAAGTGACGACTATCGTTGTAAATAGCGCAGGGAGCGCGATGAGCGCCCGTGCAAAACGCGAGTGCCCGTCTAAAGGTGCATGAGATGCACGTATACGTATTGTAAGCCGTAAGAGGAAAAGAGAAAAGAACAAAAAAAAAAGAAGAGGAAGAAGAGGATACCATAATACTCGCGCGACTCATGCACGCCGTTCGTCGACGGAGGACTAAACGGAACGTATTGTGCATTGTGTGTCGGGAAGGAAATAAAATCAAAATCGACCGATCGAATCTTCTTTTCGATTACCACTCACGATCCAAAATACAATCCAAAGACGGGGGCAACGTACTTCGAAATGAGTGCGGCGATCGTGTTTTTTTTCCCCCTTGGCGAGGAGAAGTTAAAAAGTGACGAGTTTCACATTTCTATTTTGTTCGAAAAGTTACATGATCACTAAAGAGTCGCAAAATTCGCGCGAAACTTTCCACCTTTCACGTTTCCGCTCTTAGGAAAAAGTTAACATGGTCGTTACTCAGAAGCTTTAAAGCCGTTAACCAAATCGGTTATCACCCAAGATATATTATCAATTTATTAAATATATATAAAAATAATTCTTTTTCTACAAATAATAATAACTCTTAGAGATAAAGAGTTGTGATAAGGAGTTATTCACCACAATGTAAATTTGTTGCGCACTGATGACTGCGGGAAGGCTTCTAAATTGCCTGTTCTTCCTTCCAACGTATGAATTTACCTCGTGAAGACCTCGTTTCTGACAATTACGAGCTGACATAATTGTAAGAATGCCGTGTCCAGATTAGATCAACATAACTGTAAGACTTTGTATCTGAAATACTTCTTCACACCGAGTCCCTGATATTCACTAGCTACGTATTTGTGCATTGCGACATCCATCGAGATGTTATCGTCCTCTGTGGCTTATCTCGACGTTACACCGGCGTCGCTCACGACCACGGTACATGAGTCCTTCCACTTCACTCGTGGATCCCTCAAGACAGTGATCTTTCTGGCCTCGCTTTGCCGTTGTCTCGCCAGCAACAGTCTCGTGGCTGGTATAGGAATCCAGTATTTGCCCAACGCCGGCGTCACTTCCATAGGCTCCGCCTCGTTCGTGGAATTCCAACGGCTGATCGCGTTCACCGTGACCACGGCCGCCCGGCACTCGAATGTGAGGAACCGACACACCTCCGCCAACTCGTCCAGCTGGTAGACCGACTCGTAGGTCTTTTGGCGCATTTGCCGCGTCTAAGTAGCAGTGGTTAAAAAGTAAGCCATTTACATAACTACAGATATTATCAAGATAATAGCAACAAAGCGACGTCGCTTCTAAATAATTTTATTGAATTACTTGAAACAATCATTTAGATGCAACAATTAGAAAGAAATTACTTAGAAAGCATTATTTTATCCTGAATATTTGGATATAATTTATTTGTAATTTTATTAATCATGATATACTACGACATATCTCGTTGACTTACTTCAGCATTTATTTTTTTTCTGAGAAAACTCAGAGAATATGCGCTCGAAACTGAATGATCGTTCATTAAAGTAACAAATTATTTCAGCCTATCTGTACCTCAAAGATGATCGCTGGTAAAGAGTCGATGATCACGAGAAACCTCTTTTCTTTCAATGAATACTGTTCTGTTTTGTACAGAGTCAATAACTGCCGTAAATCTTGCATTAATTCACTGAACGAATGCACATAGCAAACTTTTGTACGTTGCAATGCCTCCTTTATGATCTGGAAAACAAGAAATATCCTTTACTCACTCAACAAAATATTCCCCTTCACTCATATATTCTAATATATATTGTTGACACAAGTTAGAACTTTGATTCAGTTGTATGTTTTGTGTGTAACTAACACCTTTACTAATTAATGTTTCCTTTCCAACATCTTATTACCTCCTGTCCGAAATTCCTAGCTTCCAGTATCTCTTCATATCTCAACCTAGAGAAGTCCTTTTTAGTATCAAAGTACCATGCGACAATGTCTGATTGAGTGGCAGCAGCATTGGCAACTATCGTCAGACACAATTGAGTCTTTCCAGAAGATGATGAGCCACATAGCTCACACAAATATCCAGGACACAAGCCACCTTTCAGCAAATCATCCAAGCTGTCTTATAGAGAATCAAATGTTAGATTTTAAAAATAAGGTATCATCCTCTTTCCATACGATTTCATTTTGTTAATAGTTTCTCAAATATTGCAATATTTTTTATTTTGGACATTCAATGCTCATAATTGAGCCAAATCAATTTGCATAAAACATACCATGTCACACCAGTTGGTATCACATCCTTCTTCTCTGCTATGAAAAGTTCGAGCGCATTCTTCTTTGTATATCCAAATTCCTTCAATATGTGTTGCTTTATTTGCAATATTTCCTGCAAATATCGATATTATCTTCAATCAAACTGTCATTTTAAATATTAATATAAATTTGAGGTTTTAGACATTTCAAATTTGAAATATCAGATATTTCAAATTTGCTTAAAAATACAGCAGTTAAATAATTATTTAATTTAAGGACATAAATTTGATCAATTCGTTTCTCGATTCTTTTCAAAACATTTATTTCTTACCGTGTGCGAAAAACCGGTGGTTATTGTCAACTCAACCGAGTCCGCTGCGACGAAGTCGACGGTAGTAGCCACATTTTTTCGTCTCAGGTTCTCCGTCACCGTCTCGGACAAATTGGGGTGAACACTCGCGTTCAACTTCACCATTGTGTAATCCACCAATGACTCGAATTCTGAATGAAAAGTAACACACAATATCGTAATTGCGCATGTAATTCCCTCGAAAACATCGAATCAAGTGTTATTTATGCGACAACCATCTTTCGAGAAAATTGGAAAGTGGCGGCCGGAAGGACACGACATCTGTGGCAAACCGTCGAGAGAAAGAGAGAGAGAGAGAGTCGCACGATCCGTCGTATCAATCATTTCTCTCATCACTCGAACGGTCAATTTTATATTTTCACTTCGTGACGCGCCAATTCGCAATTTCCACGAGACGTACCTCAGACGCGAGAACGGCGAAACTCGGGCGAAGGCCCAGCCGCTTTTTGAATTCGTTGTTCGCGGCGGCGGAGGTGGTGGTCCACGGCGTAACGGCGCGCGCGCTGTTGTTCCGCTGCATTCGGCCTCCGACGTCGTCCGTCACAGTCGCTGCGGTGCTCGCACCGATCCGATCGTCGATCAGGGAGCGCGCGCGCGCGATCTCCGTGCGCGCGCCCTACGTGTGCCTCCTCGTCCGACGGTGAAGATGCCGCGCGCGAGACCGCGAGATGAGACGATCGACCGCCGGGCGGAAAAATGCCGGGCCGCGACACTACGACGCCGCCAGGGCTCCCGCGACGCGCGCCTACGACGGGCCGACGACGGGCGCGACGTTCGCCGCCGGCAACAACGGATTCGCCGTCGAGCGCTGCCGACGATGGCGAGGACGACGACGAGGGCGACGGCAGCGGTATGATCCGCCGGAAGCCAGGTACGTAGGAGAGAGAGAGAGAGAGAGCCGCAATCGATTGCGATGGCGAGACGAAGACCGAGTCTCGCGAATTTCTCGAGAGGAGTTTCCGAGTGTGCCACGTGGCGAGCGGATGAGGGATCGCCGAGCCCTGCTGCCTTCCACTTTGTGAGACCTTCCGCACGTTAATCCGCGCTATCTGCCTACCGTCCGGAACGGGCAATCTCGCGTCTTTCGTCTCAATATGGATGAGAGTAACGGTGGAATTTACATAAGTTCTTTTAATCGATTCCGTGGACGCGTGCGGACTACACCGAGCTCCTCCACGAGAGCTGGAGGATTAGAAAGCACCACGAGCGGTCTGTCTTCGTCCAGCTTGACTCTTATTGGTAGCCTAATGATGGGGAATTTTTCTCTCGGCTCCGACCGAGATCTCGCATGTTCGCGGATGGTGAGAAGGAATTGTGGTTGCTTTGTCTTTGTAATTATCTTCAGAATTCTTCGAGGAAGAGCGCGGTCTGTAAATTTGTTACGTAAACGTAGATCAAGGGTGCGATCTGTTTAACATTTTACGGGTTTTGGAGGATTTTGCTGTACTGAGAATTCTGCTCGTTACAACTGCACCTAGTTGCACCGTCTGTACTTGAAGAAAGGCAGGCATGCATTTTATGTCTGGTGGAAGTAGAAAGGATGAAAGTTTACGAGATAATTCAGAAGATGCAGCTGTAAAGAGCAGATATAGGGTAGGATCTACCGAAGCTGCGAACACTATGTAGCGCTTGAAGGAATAATATGATTGGTCTAATCGGCGTTTCAAAGCACTTGCAACGCGAAGTGGATCCTACCCGTAAAGATACACGTGTCACGTATTCACATATATAACGCTGGAACGCACCCTGGTGCTCGAAATGTGATTCGATAACAGACAAAGAGGAAAAGAGAAAGAGAGAGAAATAATTTCGGTGGGATGATTGTTTTTCTCTCTTCTACATAATCCGATAAGAAAGTTGTCTAATATTCTAGAAAGCAAATGGATCAATAAAATATGAGCGTTACAATCGACATAATAAAAGTTGCAACAATTTTTTTGTGAGTTTCGTGTCGAATAGTAGAATTCGTTTTTTAATAATTTTCAAGAAATATATTTACCACATATATTTGCACATAAAGTGCGTTGCGAAACTCATCGAGAAAGAAACATTGCGACTTTTATTACACGGACTGTACTTCGACGATCGTAAAGTGCGGCGAGTGAACGACGATGCGCTTTACCGGCAGAGTTTGTTGAAGCGGCTCAACAATAAAAGTAGATATATCGCCGATACATTTATATTAACACATTGCGGACTAGACATTTTTATTGCTAACCGTACCCAGTAGCCGGCTATGTTTTCGCCTCTAACGACGCAATATGAAATACGAGATATCTCGTCATCCGACCCCTAACGACGAAATAGGAAAGACAAGATATCTCGTCATCCGTCCGCAATGTGTCAACACTCTCGTTATATAGTTAGTCACAGAAATATGTTTATATTTTTTCTTATAAATTTTAGAATTCCGTGTCCAATAGGAGAATTTCTTTTTCCATAATTTTCAGATTTATTTTCCTGTTGGACTTGAAATGCGTTGCGAAACTCATCGAGAAAGAATGTTGCGATCTTTCTGTGACTGACTATACAAAATGTCGGCTGCGTCTGTGAAAGAAAGAGACAGTCATGCTACCCGGGTGCCTCCCTCTTTCCGTCTCTCTCTTTCTCTCTCTCTCTCTCTCTCTCTCTCTCCTTCCTTTTCCCTCACGCCTTGCGCGATTCTTTACACAAGTGTGATTACATAGGAAGTCACATTTCAATATTATAGTTAGTGTCACGTATGAATGACGTCATATACGCAGCCGGGATATTTCAAAGCGCCTATTGAATCGCAATCTCGGCGTATACGATTGGAGATAAAAAAAGTTCGGACCGTTTGGACGACTTCGCGCGACACGTTCGGAAAACAATCCGGCGGGAGAATGAATTTTTTTAGTGATTCCCACTAGACAAATTTTCCCATTGGCCACGCTCGGCAGAACGTTTATTTTACAACCGTTGGAAGTTTCCTATGCGCTGTATAAGTGATTGGATTATTATTCCCGTAGATTTGAAAGAATAAACCAATCTCAGCTCGGAAGACTTTCAACGGCCCAACGGAATAAACATTCTCCGCTGAACGCGGCCATTGAATATCGAACGCATTTGGAGACTCGTCGAGACAAAGGAGCGTACACCTTTTCTGCTCCCGACTGAGACATCGGTTGCGAGTCCTCTACTGGCGTAAAAGGGATTCCTTCTCCTTTGTCCTTTGTGGTTCTGCGTCGGAGAACACGTTCGATATTCAGGCGGCCGATGGAAAAATGTATCTTCCGAGAATCGCTAAAAATAAATTCCCCCTTTGAATACCGGATGCGTCGGCCGAGACCCGTCGGAAATAGAGCTAGTTTCTCGTCCTCTCCGAGTACAATAGCGAACGCGAGTTTCCCGCTGTTGTTCGCAGCTTCCCCGACACGCCCGACATTCGTCTCGTCTCTGAGAGCGCGGTGAGATAGCTTTGCGGAACAACGGAAGACGAGACGAAGCGCTGGGACATATTCGCGCGTGCGAGAGAGGACAGCATCGGCGAGATGATCGAATGGCCGAGCTTTCTCTCTCTCTCTCTCTCTCGGGCTCCTTCAGCGAGCCCGGGGGCCACCTCGGCCCGGCCGACTCGTGCGAACTCGGGCGACGGAGTTCGAACGTTCGCGCCTGTCGACCAATCGTGCGCAGCCGGCGCTGCCACGTTGCCGCGCGCAGCGGCCGGCGCTGGCCAATCGGACGGCTGTGCACCGCAGCGCTATCTCTGCGCGATCGACGCGAGGCTAGCCGTACAGAGAGAGAGCCTCGCCACGAAATTTCTGTCGGAGCCATCGCCATGTTTAGGAGCGTGTACACGTCCTTGGCCGTGCGGTGTGACGATGTATCGTAAAATATTAGATATATCTCATTCGTCGTGTGTTACGTGAGGTACCCAATTGCGAGTCGGCCCACGCGGATCACGAGTGTGACGATTATTACCGCGGATGGCACGTCTACGTCGTGGAAATTTGTGATTACGCTGTGGTAAGTCCGCCCTCTCGCTACGGTGCCACGCCAACATGGCGGACGAAAAATTTCCTTTGTATCACGCCGCACCTCACCGCACGCCGCGCCGCGTCACGGTTTCCCCACCCGTCGACGCCGAGCGTCGTCGTCGTCGTCGAGCGAGGTCGTCTCCTCGCGCCTTCCCTGCCGCCGATTACCACGGCCGTTACTTAGTGCGACGCACCGGTGTGTTCTCCTCGAGGAGTCGAGGCGAGAACGTGCACGGCGCCGTCATCGTCGTCGTGCACACCTCGACGACGCTGCCTCGTGCAGCCGCGCGCTAGAAAGAGATCGCGCGAGCCTCGGGTCACCCCCCCGCATCACAGAGCCCGGGATTTCTCGACGCTCGCGACATGTCGTCCCCTCCTCTCCTGGCACGCGCGATCCCCGACACCTCGTCGTCGCGCACGACGCCGAATTTCGCTTATATATACGTCGCGTTCTGCGCAATACCTGCCCTTTTACAAGGCCGCGCGCATCGCCTCCGCCAAATTCGACGCTCTCCGCTCGGTCTCTCTCGCTCGCCCGCTCCCTTTCTTTCTCCCTTTCTCGATTCACGTTTATGGCCGATCGATGCTTCTCTCTCACGAGCGGGGCCCGCTCTCGCGTCGCCCGTCGTGTTGTTGTTGTCCGCGGCACTTGAATTTTTCCGCATTCGTGCGCGCTAGTTACCGCTCAGTAGCGTATCTAGTTACTCGACGATTAACCGTATATCTTGAGCGTCCTCGTGCTGTTGTTTACTCAATTAAGATCGAGTTACCGAGGATGCTTGGCGCAACGTGTCAATGTACTTTTAAACGTTTAATTTCATTGTACTTTGTTCTATGTACGCGGAGGGAAGAATCGATCTTCGCTGTGATACAAGTGTCCACTGCTGTGTTCTGCAATATTGCTTCATCTTTTTAGAATAACATGCAATGAGTGACAAGCAAGATACACCCATCCTACCACCCCTCAGCCGGGGTGCGAGCAGCAATGGAGGTGCTACTAATGGGGGTGCGTCTCAACAGACACTTAGGACGTCGCAAATTTTTGCTCCTGCTCAAGGCCTCAATGTGCTCGCTACTGGGCAACAGCTCATTACCGTTAACACTCAGGTTCCTGGCCTCACACAGGTGAGTCTTCATCTTTGTGAATTACTTTTTTTTTTCTTATTGTCTTTTATTATCTGTTACTCAACACGTTACCTGTACTCAGCAGAAAAAGCACTTAGTGGATGTTTGATGGTTGCATTCGGCAACGGAAAAAGCGGTCGGTAAATTTAAACCAATTAGTTGATAAATTACTCAATCATTGTGCAATTATTTTGTTTGCCAAATGCAACCAATGACTGTATTCAGCAGAATGTTAATCTTACAGCTGTTGGAAGTTTTCTGCGCTGAAATTGGATTATTCTTCTGTGTCTATGAGAATAATCCAATTTCAGCCCGGGAAACTTCCAACAGTTGTAAGATAAACATTCTGTTGAATGTGACTAATGATTACTGATCCTGATTGATACATTCTCTTGGATTCTCTATCAGGAATCTAAAATAATGCTCCTGTCACAGACAATAATTATTGAGCGTTCACTGAGCTCCTCTGTTGAACATTGTTGACTGGTTATTTGTCCTACACTGGAAGAAAAAAAATGCTACGTTCAAATAAATACTAAAGAGTATAGGAGTGTTATCATACTTGGTTTAAGTAAATATTATTTAAATGTATCACTTTTTTCTTTCAGTATGCTACATTCAAGTAATATTTATTTAAACTTAGTAAAATAACTGCTCCAATACACTCTTTAGCAAATATTTACTTGAATATAGCACTTTTTTCTTTCAGTATATTTTTGTTTTTAGCTTTGTTTTGGTCATTGCCAAATAATTCTGACCAACAATCACTGATTTGCCAATCACAAGTCTCATAATTAGCCAGTGATAGGTCTGTTCTTATTAGCTGAACTAATTCTGCACCGGAACTCGATTCCTTTTTCATTCAACGTTAGATTATTGTTTCGTTCTATAGACAAGTAGTGCAATTGTTAGTTCAGCCAAAGGGAACAGATTTGATGCGTTAACACGTTTATTGCCAATCTTACCATGTGGTACAGAGATACGAGATAGAGAGATAATCTACCTTAGTATAACATCTAATAACGAACGCGTGAAATCAATCCAGCTCTCCCATTAAATCTCGCTGATTGTTCATTCGCAGGTTATCCCGACATATTCGCAGGTTCACTCGACGACTATCGCGAACGCGCAACAAGTCGGGGTCACGAGAATCGTTAATATCGCGAACACCCAGTCGCGTAACGCCACGGCAGTCGTGGGCGGCGCGATGCCGGCTAGCGTGAACGTCGTGACCGCATCGTCGCCGCACCCTACACCCATCGCCCGACAAAACTCCACCAAGGTCGTGCTGGCGACGTCGCCGAAGCTCATGCGCACCGCCAACGTGTTCGTAACGCCTATGTCGTCGTCACAGGCATCGTCGTCGTCGTCTTCGTCGCAGTCACAGGCATCGTCGTCGTCATCGCCACAGGTAACGCCTTCTTCGTCGCCAGCAAGGAAGCGGTTGAAACTGTCGGACTCGGGCGAGAAGTCTACACTCGCCGGCGAAGACCTTAGTGGTTTGCGTAAGCGGGTGATCGAATACAAGATGCGCCGGATGCAAACCATCCGCGAGAAATACGTCGAGAACGTGGCCGAGCTCTTCTTCCTGCACGCCGGCGGCAATATGATGGACTATTTGGCCTGGCGGAAGCGACAGCCGACGTCGCAATATTTGCACTTCCTGCGGCAGCATCGATTAGACCCGGAGGACGACGACGAGGACTTGACGGTGCCGTTACCGCCGTTACCGTCGGAATTGTCGCAACTCTCATCGTCCGCCAACAACACCGCCACCGTTACCGCCGCCGCCACCGCGGCCACCGCCACCGTCACCACCACCACCATCACTACCACCACCACCACCACCGCCGCCGCCTCCGCCGCCGCCACCACTACCACCACAGCCGTCGCAGCGGCAGCAGCCGCCGCTACCGTAGCCGCCGCCGCCGCAGCCGCCGCTACCACAACCACCACCGTTACCAGCACCACTGTTATGACTACTGCCACGTCCGTCTCCACCGTGGTTTCCGCGCCGAGTCAGAGCAACGCCGCGGAAGTTAAGATCCTCGGCGTGGGCGCCACACCGGTGGCAGTCTCCACTACCTTACCCGCTGCAGTGGCGCAACTCACGCAACACGGTAATACACACACGCTTCGTTGATCTTCTCTCTGTGTTGTCTCGTCCTTTCTCTCAGACATTTCAACTGGTCGGTAGTTGTTAACCCAGCTGTTGCATTCTCGCGATCCCACTTATGTCATCAGTAATTAATTGATACTTCTGATGCCAGTTCGAACCATCGTTCCGTGCTGGTTTGAAAATAAATATTTTTTTGGCCAAAATTCTGAATGATGGAAATGTTTATATATATATATATATATATATATATA